TATGTAGCAGACTAATAAGTCATCGTATTCCTTACGTCGCAACACTACACTAGTCGATACAATCTGCCAATCTGGAACTCAGCTTCTTCAACCACTAAAACAAAATTGTATATTCCTTACTAGTCGATACAATTTCCTATTTAGTCTTAGTTTTCAAAACAGTCCAAATAGTTGACGCCATATTCCATCGAGTGCCTAACATTAATTACAACTAACACTAACAATACATTTAATTTGGTTCAAAGAATATTTGAGCCTGCGATGAAATGACATCAATTGTTATATCATGGAACATGGTTGATGGTTCATATATATCGCATCGTGAACCTTGGTCCAAAAATTATGTGTCTGCCATTAATACATTTTGTACCTACAGTTAACAATTTTTGTATCTGTAAATAAATTGAAAGTACATAACAAGGTAAATACAGACATATAAACTGTTAACCGTAGGTACACAAAATACGTTAATTGCAGACACATAACATGTTAACCAACATCTTATATGTTTGCAATTAATTAACATATTATGTACCTGCAGTTAACAGTTTATGTGTTTGTAGTTATCATGTTATGTGTTTGTAGTTATCATGTGATGTGCCTTCAGTTTGTTTACATGTACATATACGATTAACTAAAGGTGTAAACCTAGGGTGGTAGCTTGGATGGTAAATGAGCTCTCTTTGTGGGGGAGGGGGGGGGGGGAATTTTATTTTAAGATAACCCAGGTTCAATTCCTTCCTACAAGTGACGATTTCCTACCTCAGAGAACAACCCGAACCACAACATTTTTTATTTTAATTTTTTTAATTAAAAATAAAATTTAAAATTTAAAATTTTCAAAATTTAGTAATAAAACATAAGGTTTTCATAGTTATTTCTTACAAACTATTTACGTAAGTGGTTGTAAAAGTGTTCAAAAGATTGTTTAAACCATCTAAATACATAAAAAACTAAAATTAAGAGCAAAATTAGTTTGCGGTGGATAGATCTCGAAAAAATGCGCGATTTGAAAAAAAAAAATTCCAAAACGGACAATCGAGTCAAAAGTTAGCCTTCCCGAACTTTTCCCAATTTACAACGCAGGAGAAACCGCTGTGGTTGTAGCTGCTTCATTGTTACTCCCATCGCAGGCTGCCAAACAGATGCCATGGTATCTTGGAAGAAGAGGAACTTCACCTGTTTGTTTGTAACAATCCTGCAAACTGCATAGAACCCGGTGTCGCTGTTCTCGGCACCAACCTAGATGTCTGGTAACTGCACCGACTGGTCCTCATCATCAACGTCAGCGAGAGTTAAGTTTGCCAGGTGCGTGATATTGTTATCGGTGTCGGACGCCATGAAGAACGAACGTGAAAAGAGGCGGAAGTAGTTCCGGTGTCTGAAACCCTAGCTGCGCAGAGGAAGAGAAACTCGCGAAAGGTAACGAGAGAGAAACCTGTATGATTTTTAATTCACACATTATTATTTTGAGTGTATAATATATCAATTTAAACCTCTCACTTAGGAGAACCTGAATTTATTTAATGTGACCTAAATCAGAAGAGGACCCACTAAAAATTATATCACAAAATAACTAGTTTAAATATCATTTAAGTTAATATTAGTATGTTTGTACTAAGTTGAATGGTTAATCTAGACCCTTTGACAGATGGAAGCTATACAACACGTTTTCACGTACGTAAGAATTGGTCTGGTACAGTTGTACCTAGTCGCATTTATTTATTGCATTAAATCCCTTTCTTGATTAATCAAAGATTAATTAAATAGTGGGGTTTACCGGTGTATGACTTTGAACATATTTCCTTCCGTGCCATATGGAACGCATCAAGCCAGCAACGACGGTGGTGGAAGTTAATATTTTGAGCAAATACCAATTTTGGTCCAACGAATATTAATAAAATAGTGGTTTTGGTCTATATGTTTAATTCCTACCAATTTTTATCCACGATTATTATTTTAGTACCAATTTTAATTCACGACTATTCTTTTAGTGCCAAAATTCATCACGCCGATCACCCATTCGTTTAAGGCATGCCGAAATCTAAAATTTTTAAGGATATTTACATCATTTTCAACTTAAAATCTCAATTTGAGTATTAAAAAAGAATTTAAGCTCTAAGATCGATCCAATTCGCAATTCTCATCCTCATCCTACCTTAATTTGAGGAGGAGAACTGTGAATTAGGATTGATCGTAGGGCTTAAATATCTTTATTCATGCTCAAATTGGAATCTTAATTTGAAAATGACAAAAATACCCTTAATAATTTCATATTTCGGCATGCCTTAAACGAAGGGGTGATCGTCGTGATAAATTTTGGCACCAAAACAACAGTCGTGAATTAAAATTAGTACTAAAACACTAGTCGCGGATGAAAATTGGTAGGAATTAATAAAAGGCAATTTATATCCTACACCACGGCGCGCGTTGCACTGTGCGCCCAGATGCAAAACGACGTCGTTTTAATTTTATTTTTTTTTTGGAAATTTCCCGCCCCAGTGAATGGCAGTAATTTTTTCTTTAAAAAAAAAAACCCACTGTTCAAAAATGTACATAATGTTATACTAGAATACACATAATTGTATACATGAATGTACATAATTATATAACAAAATATACGTACTCTTTTTAAAAGATAATACACATAATCTAACATAATACATAATAAACATAAACTTTTAACATAATACACATCAACTCTTAACATAATACACACAAATTTTCTGATTCGGATGTACATAATTGTATAAAAAGAATGTACATAATTGAATAAAAATGTACATAACTGTATGAACAAATACACATAATTGTGTGAACAAATACACATAATCACAGCAACTTCCTACCGCGCCTCCCAAAACGACGTCGTTTTGGGAGGCGCGCGGCGCACAGTGCTACGCGCGCCGTGGTGTAGGGTATAACAATTGGGAATTAAACATGTGAACTAAAATTGTCATTTTGCTAATACTCGTTGGACTAAAATTGATATTTGCTCTTAATATTTTAGTCTGCGGCCTCATTACATTAGTTTGATCAAACTATTATTGCTGTCAATAGTATTAAAAAAAAAAACTGTTATTAGAGTTAGTAGAGAGTACTTATTTAGTTCAATAGGCTAAATTTGTCCACTTGTTATTAAAGATTACAGGTTTATTTATTATTTTTTTTTGAAAGTCATCAAAACAGGCGATAATTATATTAGAGATAAACTGCAATGAAGTTTGGTGGGATAGAATCCCAATACATCATATCAGTCTGACCAAAAGAATGAGATACTAAAGTATGTGCTATAAAATTATCTAATCTAGAAATAAAACGAACTGGACAGAAAGTAAAAATGGACAAAATAGTCCTGCACTCGTCAATAACGTAGCCAATATAGACAGTTTATTTAGTAAAGGAAGAAGAATTATAAATACGCCTTCAAATCATACTTGAAAATACAATTAAGTTTTTAAACTATTTAACTCGTTAGATTTGTGCAACTAAATCAATTAATTAGTTACTAGAAGGTAAAAAATAAAAAAAAAATAAAAAAAATAAAAAAATAAAAAAAAAACCAAACAAACTTACATGGCATTTGTATTCAAAAATTAAATTAATAAAAATGTTTTAAAAAATGTCACCTCTAGTTTTCCCATCTAGTATGGATGAAGAAACCACAGATTTTTTGGCCCAAATGGACAGAGAAGTTGGTCGTTGCTTCTTCTTTTAGTTGGACAAGAGAAGCCTCTCTATGATTACATTTTAAAAAATTATTTATGTATTTATTTATTTATTTATTTATTTATAAAATAATTTTCAAGTAGAACTCCAAGCCAATACGAACTAGGATTATAGGTTAAACGATTTTACTTGGAAATTTATTTACAAATTAATTGGTTCAATTGTATCAATTTGACAAACTAATTAACTTAGGGTGTGTTTGGAAAGCATGAAAATGACTTCTGAAAAATATTTTATGGAAGTCATTTTTCAGAAAAAAAATTCTTTATTTCATGTGTTTGGTTGCATTCTAGAAAACTGTTTTGGTGTGTTTGGTTGATTTTATGAAAAATAAGTATAATTATTTTTAATTTTAAATATTTAAAATATACAGTGGTGGGTGGTTGGTGGTGGTGGTGGTAGTGATTGTGGTGGGTTCTGTGGTGGTGGTGGCGGTGCCAATGGTTGATTGGCTGCTCCACTGCTGCAAACCAAAAATGACTTCCAAAAAAAAAGGAAAGTCATTTTTCAAAAAATTTCCTCTATTTTTCATTGACCACACTCCAATTTTTCACTGACATGCATTTTTCCCTCTAGCCAAACACGGAAAACCCATAAATGATTTCCAGAAATCATTTTTTGGATTTTCAAACGCACCCTTAATTACATCATTTAACAAGTTGAATGCTCTAATTGAATTTTTTTTTTTTTTTTTTATAATTTAGATGATGTGGAATCTTTAGCCTGAATTTCAGTATCAATTTGCCAAAGTCCTCCGAATGCATGATCTTTTCCTCACCAAAATAGCAACCACAAGAGGTGTTGGAGATGGAATTGGTTGATGTATGTACGGAGTTGGTTAAGAGATTATTTTTAGTGTTTTTAAATTAGAGGATATTTTCACCACACCTCAATCTTAATTGTAATTTATGCCCCTCCATAATATGTCAATTATCAATGTCACCCCTAAATTATTAGTGGTATAAATGTTGCCACTCAATTTTCAAAACGGTGCATATAGTGCCCTCCCGTAGTGTATGTTAGCATATATTATTTTGTCTCATTATCTTTGTATAATATATAGTTTATATTATGTGGTAGTATTATTAGATTGTTACATCTGATCTATTAGTCAGGGTTTGTTAGAGTCCTTGTAGACATATACTTTGTATTCTTCTCAGAAACAGTTATTGAATGAAAGCTATTCTCTAATCTGGTATCAGCCGGGATATCGATCTTTCATCAATCTCCACCGTAAATTTCCCCCTCTTTTCCCGTACAAACTCATCGGAATGTCGTCCCACTCTTCCGAACGTACAGTCTCCGCTGCCGGCACCCCGTCTCCGGCCGGCGGGCCGTCTCTCGCCGGCGCTCATCATTACGTGACGATGAAACTCACGTCACGTAACTTCTTGTTTTGGCGCGCCCAGCTAATTCCCTTTCTCCGGGGTCAAGAGTTGCTGGGCTTTGTTGACGGTTCTCTTCCGTGTCCACCGGAAACCGTCACTGCTGCTCCGTCATCGGAGGGATCGTCGGCAGGCACCACCGCGGCGACCATCGTTCCCAATCCGGACCACCGGGCATGGGTGAAACAGGATCAATCGATCATGTCTCTCCTGATTTCATCCATGTCGGATGAAGTGCTGCATTTAGCGCTTGGCCGAACTACATCGGCAGAGATATGGCAATCCATCACCTCCGCACTCGGATCCTCAAGCCAAGCCCGCTGTCTCAATCTTCTCGGGCAATTCCAGGTGCTCCGTCAGGGTAACTCCACGACTGCAGAGTATCTAGGCCGAGCCGGGGTTCTCGTCGAGGCTTTAGCTCAGGCCGGTCGGCCTCTCTCTCTGATGGAGCAAAATTTGTACGTGCTCCGTGGACTCTGACCGGAACTGAAGGCCATGGCAGCGTCTTTCACCTCCGGGAATGCCGTGCCGCTATCACATCTCTCCGATTACCTCCAGGCACATGAATTCATCCTTGTGGATGACTATCCCACCGGCGACTCCACTGCTTCCCATTCGGCGTTTTATGCAGGCCCTGGTCGCGGCTCATCCGGTGGCGGCAGGCAGTCGCAGCAGTTCGGCCGTGGCGGTGGTGGGCGTCGCGGCGGCCAGAATCGTGGAGGCGGACGCGGTGGACGCGGGGGTCCGCGGTGTCAAATTTGTCGCAGTCATGGACACTCGGCCATGTAATGCTACAAAAGGTACCACCCGCAACCTCCACCGCAGGCGAACATGGCAGTGCCGGCGGATGTCCCAGCTCCGGTGCAAGCTCCGGCCGATGGGTGGTATCCAGACACCGGAGCCACCGCACACGCTACACCGGACGCAACCATGATGGGGCAGTCGGAGGAGTACGGCGGCACGGACGTGCTTCGCGTGGGTAATGGCGCAGGTTTGGTTATTTCACGCGTTGGTCGCGCATCAATCCCTTCCGTGTCAAAATCCCTTTGTTTAAACGATATATTGCATGTCCCGAGTCTATCTGTTCCATTATTATCTGTGCACAAATTTGCTGTTGATAATAAGGTTTATTTTGAAATTCATGATTCGTGTTTTATTGTGAAGGATTCGTTAACCAAAGCGGTCCTGCTTAGAGGTCCTGCCACGGGCGGCCTGTACAAGCTTCCAGTGTCAAAGTCCAATTTCGCGTCTGTCAGTTCCCGGGCAACTCCCACCACTTGGCATCAACGGCTTGGACACCCGCACAAAAATGTTCTTAATAAAATTCTACAAGTTTGCCTGGTCATTCCCAATAAAACCTCGCCAATTGAGTCCTGCACCTCGTGTCATCTCGGGAAATCATCGCGGTTCAAGTTAGATAGTGTGCCACATTCTAGCAAAAATGTACTAGATCTCATATATACTGATGTTTGGGGTCCGTCCCCTGTACTATCTGTTAGTGGTTTTCGCTATTTTTGCCTTTTTGTAGATGATTTTTCCCGATTTACCTGGTTTTATCCATTACGGGTAAAATCGGACATTTATAAAATATTCGAGTCGTTCCGTGTGTTGGTTGAACGTCAATTCGGGCGGTCAATTAAGTCAATCCAGTCGGATCTAGGGGGTGAGTGTCGAAAATTACATGCCACATTCCAAACTCTTGGCATAAATCACCGTCAGTCATGTACTTACACACATGAGCAAAACGGGCGAGTAGAGCGCCGTAATCAACACATCGTTGAAACGGGTCTAGCTTTACTTGCTGAAGGCAAAGTATCCCATCACTATTGGGATTACGCCTTCGAAACTGCTACATATTTAATCAACTACTTACCCTCCTCAGCCATACACTATGAAAGTCCATATAGCCGATTATTCAAAGTCACTCCACCATACACATTTCTCCGTGTCTTCGGGTGTCGGTGTTACCCATATCTGCGCCCATATAATAGGCACAAGATTGAGTACCGCTCCACCCCGTGTGTCTTCCTAGGTTACCCTGTTTCTTTTAGGGGATACAGATGCGTTGATTTAGCTAGTGGAAAAACTTATATCTGCCGCCATGTGCGTTTTGATGAAAACGTTTTTCCGTTTTCTACAGCTTGTTTGCAACAGGAACAGCCGCAACCTGAGTCACCTTGGGCCGTGGTGCCAATTGTCCCGGTGGGTCAGGCTGGTTCACCGCGTGATCAGTCGGAACCAGGACCACCTATTGTTCCGGAAGATGAACCACAACCGCTGGCTCATGCACCACCGCAACTTGCAATCACACACACCGCCCCGGCTAGACCCCGCCGCAAAGCTCGTGCTCAACCACAGGGCCGTGATCATGTTATGCGACTACGGCACATGACAAAAGGCTCAAACGAGCCCTTTCAGGCACTAACTGTCAGTGCCGACCCTACCTGCTACTCACAAGCAGTTGGCCATTCCCGGTAGAGGCCTCATGAGCATTATTTGATTTCTTGCACCAGTGTATCTCTCATGAAGTCCAATTAGAAAAATAGATAGCTTATCCTTCTATGATTGCTCATTCAATTCATCAATTTTCTTACCACAATCGCACTTCTGAGTGCACTTGCAGCCTATGACTGGCCTAAGTATCTGAAGCTCATCCCACAGTAGCTTCTGCTGAGTGAAATACTCGTTCAGAGAGTTGTCCCCTTGCTTAGTTTGATATATCTCGCACTTAATTTCTGTGATCCGAAATAGATCCTGTTGACTGAATCTGCGCTTCAAGTCTCTCCAAATTCCATATGCAGTGTCGATCCAGAGGACGCTGCGCCCAATCGTAGGTGATAATAATGATCGAACAATCCAAGTAACTACCATGTCATTGCACCGTCCCCAAACTTCGAACTTCCGATCATCTTTAGATGGCTTAAGGATCGATCCATCAACGAACTTGAGTTTGTTCTTGCACGAGAGTGCCATTGTCATAGCTCTCGCCCATGGATGATAGTTAGATCCATCCAATGGCGTAAAGACAAGCATTAGGGCAGGGTTTTCATTAGGATGCAGAAAGTAGGGATTTGTCTGAGAATCTGGATCAAATGTCACCTCCGAATCGATTGATTGAGTCGCCGGAGTAGGACGCAGAGGCGGAAGCTGAGTTGATGCCGAAGACCCTGTTGCTGGTGCTGTCGTTGCACCGATTGACGGCCATCCCGTTATTCCTGCCATGAGGATTTTGCTTTCAGAGAGCTTTTAGAAAAGCTCTGATACCATGTTGCGGATTTGGAAGGGGGAGGGGGGGGGGGGGGTGAAACGGTTTGAGAAGAAAGGTGAAATTTTCATTAATTGGAAAAGAGATGAGAAGCTGTTTTTATACAAGATGAAGAAGAAGCTATAACAGAAGAAAGAAAGCTAACAGCTAACTAATCAATCAGCTAACTAACTGCCATAACTGCCATGTACTGTTCCATTGCTGCTGTCATTGTTGGAGGCGGTTGTTGTACTCTCTGAGATGGAGTGACATAAATTACAATTTTTCCTAATTTAAATTGCTCTGGTCATGTTCTCATCATGCCTAAATGCTGTTTTGGGATAACTTTTAATTGTGTGATATTGAGTAAGTGCTAGTTAACTAACTTTTCTCTTTAACATTTTAATACAAAACATTAAAATTTGAAAATGATGTTTTGTAAACGTTGTTGAGAAAAAAAAAATAATCTAAAAAGTGACTTTATACATGAAAGAATTCTCCAAAGCAAATGTAAGAGTCCTATATACATACTCGAAATTTGTTAAATAAAATTACTAGAAAATTTAAGACATCTCATATATAAGATCAAGAAGATGAAATCAAATTTCAGGCCTATACGTACCAATTTGATCCAAAATGTTAAAATTGAAAGCTCTATTTTGTAATAAGTGTTTTAGAGAAAAAAAAATCCCACTAATGCCCTTATACATTAAAAAAGAAATGATCTAAAACAAAGGTTTATTGAAATTCAAAATTTATTAGGAAAAAAAACTTACTGATCAAATTAAGAATATCTGACTCATACCAGGATTATGTAATAGAGCGCGTTATTGAAAAAAGAATATCTGGCTCATATAAGACAAAGAGTAAATTACTGTTTATGTTTTTATTGATTTTTCATCAAAATTTAATAAAATATTAATGAAAAAATCAAAACTCCTACTCTAAAAATGATTGAAAGACATAAAATAGACAAGATAGTAACTGAAACTAAGTATTACATAGAGACAAAATATAACAAAAGAAGCTCGTAATAGCAGCTCAGTTGGTCAAATGGGTAAAGTTTGAAAATAATGATTCAGGATTCTTGTGCGCAGTATGTAAAAGTCAAGCATTTGTGTTCAGTTGCGTTACCATGATTTACATATTTCTAGATGTTCTGTCGGTTCAGGTGTAGGTAGCCCTTGGGGTTGGTGATTTCACCTTTTAATGAGAATAAAAAATATAACAAAAGATTTCATTTTATGATCTTTTTAAATAGTAAATATTAATTCATATCTCATTAAAAATGAAAAAATTATACCTAAAATTCTTTTAATAAAGGTTTGGCGTGGAAACAGCATGGTATTATGGTATGTGCCAACTGCCAAACAAGATTGGTTCAAATCTTGAAAAGGCAGACAGCTCTACCACTAAACGGCACCCCTCACCGTTCGTTGACGATCACGCCATGATTGAACATAACCACACGACTGTTACCAATTCCGTCATTTTCCTATCTCCTGTATATTGACCCTCCACCTATATTCTTCTTTTAATAGTTTTATTCCCTAAGAATCTTCTCATTCCATTTCCTCGTGTAAACGAAATATTTCATTAAAAATTTTGTTATTTGTAGTCTCATTTTACTTTTTATTTCGTACTATGATGATTGAATATTGATATTATAAAGCAATTTTTTTATATTATAATTTCTCTTGGCTAAAAAAGACCGCTGATGACTTTTGAATTGGCCTCTTTTGTCATAAACTCAAATAGTCATGAATAGTCAAAAGACCACCAATCACCGTAATTGTTTTTAAAGAAGTTACAAACAAATTTTTTGTTTTTATTACTTTATTTATTTATGTTTATAATTGTCCAATTTAACATGCCAAATCACTACTTCGGACATTTATAAAGAGTATTCGTAGAAATCTAGTTAGTAGCAAATCAACCCTAATCTAATGAATTGGTATAATTAGATCGATCTATAGTAGTTTTATGATTTTTTTTTTAAAAAATTTAAGTGATCCCAGTTTCGCCGGACTAATTCTAAACTCACTGGACCCCACCGAAGTAAATTGTAAGTCGCGCAATCATCCTACCAATCAATTCTAGTTTTCATGCAATGTACGTACAAGGAATCCAATTCGGACCTTTTAAATTTTCAACATTCTTGGGTCTTCAAACCTCCACATTGCTATCTCTAATCATGACTTTCAAGTCATGTGACGAATCAACTATGCTAAATCTCGGGCAGTTTTATGAATGTTTTTAGTTAGACATTGAATTGCACTATTCAAGGATATACGGAGTATCTGATTTTTTTTTTTCTTTTAAAATTTTAACAAGGTTTAAAATTTCTTTTGATATGCCGAGGATTAAACGACGTGTAACTGACTAATTTTCCTTTTTCTTTTATTCCTCAGCTCGCTTTAAATGATACGTTGCTGAACATAGCGGGAACGCGGCATTGGCTTTCAACTGCTTCTCCTCTCTTCTCTCTCTAGGGTTTTTTTCTCTGCCTAGAATAGTAGAATCTCTTTATTCAGTATTCTATTCTCATTGCCGTTGTTGTTACGCTTAGTTGTTCAGATCTGACTTGCTTCCACCGAGGCTTCGATTTCGTCTCCAGAGGTGTGGATTGTTTTTCTTCAATGCATTTCTGATTTTTTGTTGTTGCTGTATTTCTGTTCATTTCATCATATTTGTGCTTTTTGTTCATTTCTGCATTCAAGTATCCGTGAGCATAGATTGTGGAGAAGACACTTTTACCTTTTTTTACGTTTTCTTCCGTTCTTTTTGCTTGATTGGATACTGGTTTTACTGCTCTTGAAAACACGCATGTATATATTCACGCATTATACGTGGTGAGTGCGTGAGTTATACGTTTTGAAAAAACGCGCATTTCACGCTCTCTGTGGTGATCACGCCAGGATTTGCTTCATGCTTTTTTGGCTTTGTTTTCAAATACCGTGCTGATTTTATAAGCTGGCTTAACTGTATTTTAAAAAGTTTGTACGTACTATATATGAGTGCATGCTGGTGCGGCTTTTAATTGCATATATTTTTTAATTTCACGATTGTCAGAAGGTTCAGTTCAGGGAAGGGATCCTTTATGGAGGTATAGAATGATTTCTCTGTTTCTACTGTCTGGTTGTTATTTATTTTTTGATGATTTCTTGTCTCCATGTGCTGATCTGGCAAAAGGTTGTCATGAACCAAAAATCTTATTGTTTTCTATAATCCTGCAACAAATGTTCCTGGATTGTTTCATATTAGCTCTTTTTAAGAAGTTGCTGTTATTAAAATAATGGATCTTATTGTGCAAATAATAAAGACTCGAAGTTGATAGTTTAGGGAAACGTAGTTGTGCATTTGCCAGAAAGCAGTACATCTGAATTCTGAATCAACATTTTGATTATGATTTGGTTTCTGCTTTTTTGTGTATGAGGATGGTGGAAGTTGAATAGCATGGGTCCTACATTTACCTGTAAACTTTCCTTGGGATGAAGTGCTCTGTTCGTTGGTGTGCCTAAACACTCAATTGTTGTCTCTGTGTTTATGATCCGTTCCTTTTCTTTTTTTTTTTTCAAATGTCCAGTTTCCAACTATGGTTCCACCTATTGAAACACCAAACAAAGCTCCCAAGGCCATTATGTCCGCGCATCCACCACTTAATGAAAGGATACTATCTTCCATGACTCGGAGATCAGTTGCTGCCCATCCTTGGCATGATCTTGAGATAGGTATTTAACTAAATTCTGCCCATATCTAGAGTTGATAACTTTTTGGAGTTTAAAGTTACTTGATCCGTGTCTTGTGATCTGATCCAGGGCCTGAAGCTCCAAAGGTTTTCAATGTGGTAAGCATTCACTTTGCTCAAATCTTTCAGATTACTTAACTTTTACAATGTTCCTTCTGAATTTTCAATTTGTTCATTTTAGAAATTTAGTTAGGACTCTTATTATGCGGTAAATCATATCCCACTGCTTTGAACTCCGTTAAATTTTTTCATTTAATGTAAAAAAACATATACGTCTTATAACCATTTATATGCAACAACCAAATGAGCTAATCCTATTTGAACCCTCAAGAAAATCCATCAGAAATTTGGAAAAAAAAATGTTGATATTGTCTTACCCTCCATCCCTCCCATTTGAATGCTCAAGTGTTCATTGACCTTGACCATATGGATTTACTTGTGTTATACTCGGGGAATAGCATGATATTTAATGGATTAATTTGGTATCAGGTTTATTTTTGTGTGGACAAGGATTTCAGGTTTAGTTTTTCTATATCTATGCAGGTAATTGAGATCAGCAAGGGGGGTAAGGTGAAGTATGAATTGGATAAGAAGACTGGACTTATCAAGGTAAAAAATATCACAAATTGTTTATTGAAAACATGCACAATGCTTCTTGACTGGGTACTGAAATGTATACCCATCAGTCAGGCTGGTTGAGCTCAGGAAAAACTTTGAACTGGAGTCAGCCTGAGCCCGCCAATATTTAGGTTAATGGTTGGCCTGGGGAAAAAATTTCCGTAGGTTATATTTGTTCCGATCTGTCCATCTCTTTCAAGTCTACTCATGCATTAATTTACAATTTGTGATTTATAATTTTTTTTACTTTCATTGTATATGGAAGGTTACAAATCAAATCCACTATTGCTATGGTTGTACAAGCTTAGGTTCAACCAATATGGTTGTATAAAAAATCCACTTATTCAAATATACAATATTTATTTTACTTGAGAAATATTTGGAATATTTTACAAAAATAATGACATCATTTTTTTAACATGCAATTCAAACGATTAGTTTCTTATTGCAATTCTTTAATATAGTCAACTCAATTTTAGGTACATGTAAACAATGTTGTTAAACTTGGACAAAGAATATAGTCAAATCCTGGTAAATATTATTAGAAGGCTTTAAGCTGCATAAAATGTTATATTTTTGTTTAAAAAAATTTATTGACAAATTGACTTTTTTGGTTTGATGGCTATAGGTGTAGTTTGCACTTTCATTATGCATTTATGCATTGGGTCCAGGGTTCAATTCAAACCTTTAGACGTTGGTAAATTTACAAGTTAAATAGAATGTTAATGACCAGAGCCAAAGCAATCAGTCTTACCAGGAAACGAGGGTAAAAAAGAGTTGAGAACTGTGGAAGAACCTATCCCGTAGAGTGTTGAACGAAATATCTAACAGGTGAACAGGTCTACTGAAATGTATATTCTTCTGCAGGTTGATCGTGTGCTTTACTCGTCAGTTGTCTACCCCCATAACTATGGTTTCATCCCTCGTACTATTTGTGAAGACAGTGACCCTATGGATGTTTTAGTTATCATGCAGGTCTGATTTCTCTTCCAAATCCTTTCTATAAATTCTAGTAGGTGCAATTTTTAGCCGATGTAGTTTAAAGAGCTTCCTATTTTCTCTACAAGGTTTTAGTTTTATTTGATTTTTTAAAGGTTTGAATCTTTTTGCAATATGTTATTTATTTCAATTTGGTTAGCTTTGTGCATATGTTTGTGTTCCCAGTACGTGTAAGTTAATGCTATTTGTTTGAAGAAGCTATCTCAAAAATGCCATAGTGGAAACATCATCTCCAAAGGTTTAAACTACTAGCAAAGTGCTATTCTTATTTGTGATGAAACGGACAGTTTAGCTATTGGATTTAATTTAACAAAGTGCATACTGTTATTTGTATTGCCTTTAACTCTGTTATTTTGTACGGAGTATATTTTAAGATGCTGACTGTTGTTCGTGATGATTAGGAACCTATCCTTCCAGGCTGCTTTCTCCGGGCCAGAGCAATTGGCCTTATGCCCATGATTGATCAGGTAAATAGCGATACATTAAAATTTAATTCTATAAACCTAAAGCAATATTTAACTGTGTTTGGAATTCAGGGAGAAAAAGATGACAAGATAATTGCAGTGTGTGCTGATGACCCTGAGTACAGACACTACACAGACATCAAGGAGCTTCCACCACATCGTTTGGCTGAGATCCGCCGCTTCTTTGAGGATTGTATCCTTTCATATATAAAGATTATAAATGGGAACAGGAATTATGTTTTAAAGATCTTCGTTTTAACAGCTGATTCTAATACAGAGGTGAAAATATTTGATACTTAACAATTATTCAGACAAGAAGAATGAGAACAAGGAAGTTGCAGTTAATGACTTTCTACCAGCATCTGATGCCTATGAAGCCATCCAGCATTCCATGTAAGTTTTCAAACCTTTGCCTTGACATATTTCCATTCTTGCATAAATTAAAACTGCCCGTCACATATCAAATCGAAGACTGTACTTGAACTTGTTTTTTCATAATTAATTATCTCTCTAGAAATGTTTAATTGTAATTTGATGCATTTGCCAGGAATCTCTATGCGGATTATGTTGTGGAAAGCCTGAGGCGATAGTTCACTTGGAAAATGAAGGGTGGTGGATGACATATTCATACAATATATACAAATACTCCTATCTAAAAGCTTTGCGTATTTTACATTGTGCATATACCTTGCCTGGAAGATTTCCCCGTCTACATTGAGAGGATGTCTTCTGCTATGGTTCTATATATAAATTTTGAAACACTTTCCAAGTTCTAATTAGTCTCAGTGGCAAGCTATGACTGTATTATTTGATTATTTGGTACTCCGTATTTTGTACCCTATTGTTATAACAATGCTTACAATTATTGATTGATATTTGATTCATACTAGTATTTGTCCTGTGCGATGTACGGATAATATTTATAGACTATTAAGCAATGTTGCAAACATTGCACCTAGGCGCTGTCACGGCAAGGAAGGCCGGAATCGGCCTCTTCTGCGGCCGAGCGGTCGCCTAGCCGACTGAACCGGTGGTTTTTTATTATTATTTTTTATTTTTTAGGTTTAGGGTTTAGAAACTTTGTCGAGGCATGGATATAACTTTTGACTCGGTTGTTTGTTTTGGATAAATTTTTTTTTTAAATCGCGTATTTTTTCGAGATCTATCCACCACAAATATCGTAGGCGGTTTGCCACACTAATTTTTCAAAAAAATGCTTCTTTTGCACTTATTTTTTTTTATGCATTTAGACTTAATCTCAGAATCCCAGAGTGCGTTAATTCTTGGGAGGCTCATTACATATAATAATATCTTAATAACTGCTGAGGTGGAACACTTCTTGAATAGAAAGCGGTGGCTTGACAGGTTGGGGGGCTCTTAAGCTGGATATGACAAAAGCCTATGATAGAATGGAGTGGCCTTTTCTGAAAAGAAAGCTTGAGGTTTTGGGATTTGATGATAAGCGGTGGATTAAGCTAATTATGACATGTGTAACTACGGTTTCATACAATGTTATGGTGAATGTGTCACAGACTAGGGTTTGGAACAGAAATGAAGTAAGCAATCTGGAAAATAAGAGAAGAAGAGATAGAGAAATAGAGAGAATTTGGGAAAAGAAGAAACTAGGGTTTGGTTGAATTCAACAATAAGCATGCAAATCAAGTCTGGACAAAACAACAATTATAAAGACTAGGCTAATACATCCAAAAGAGATTCTAACAGACTCCGGATTCTTAGCTCAGGCCAACTCCATTCCAGCTAGCTTGCTCAGGCCAACTCCATTCCAGCTAGCTCCAATACGGCGTCGTCTGAGATGGCCGTTCAACCTCCAAGCTTCAAGCGGCGTCGTTTCGCCTCGTATTTAATCCAGCTTCAACTAACTGCATCCTACGGCATCGTTTGGTTTAATGGTAACGGCTAATAAGCTCCTTAGTCCCCAACTTTCAACACTTAGCATTTCTGGAGGCTTTCTTCTGATCTCCTTCTTCCAGTGTTCAAATGTTCTTCTCCAACCTTTGGCCATAACATCCCCCCCCCCCCCCCCCCCCCCTTTAGTGGATCCTTGTCCCCAAGGATCAAAATTTGGAAATTGCCTCGTTATGTGATGATAGTTTTCCCAGGTAGCTGCTTCCTTAAGCAAATTTACCCATTGAACTAGAATTTCAACCTCAGCTTTGTTATTCTTCTTGATCAGTCTCTTCCCAATGGTTGCCAAAGGTTGGGTCAGGACCATTCCTTCTTGATCAGTGAGAGGCACGGTGGCATGTGGAACCAGCCCTTCTACCACCCTCTTCTTCAATTGTGACACATGGAATACTGGGTGAATGGTGGTTTCAGGTGGCAATCCCAGTTTGTAGGCCACCTTCCCCACCTTGGCTGTGACCTTATAGGGCCCATAGAACCTTGCAGTGAGCTTAACATTGGACCTAATGGCCACTGACACTTGTCTATAGGGCTGTATCTTCAGATAGACCTAATCTCCCACTTCAAAGCTTCTTTCACTTCTATTCTTATCAGCCTGTTGCTTCATTCTTACTTGAGCCTTTTGCAGATTCTCCTTAAGGATAGCTATCATGATAGCCCTCTCTCTGAACCACTCATTCCCTTCCCCTTCTGTCACCTTATCAAAGGTTATAGCTGGTGGCAAGTAACCATATAAAGCCTGAAATGGTGAACACTGTAAGGATGTGTGGTAGTTAGTGTTATACCAATGCTCAGCCAAGTGTAGCCACTTACTCCATGCCTTGGGATTGTGGAAGACCGTACATCTCAAGTAAGTCTCTAGGCATCTATTGACCCTTTCTGTTTGACTATCAGATTGGGGATGGTAGGCTGTTGACATGCTCAGTTTCACCTGTAGCTGTTTGAACAAGGATTGCCAAAACCTGCTTAGAAAGACTTTGTCCCTGTCACTTACAATATCCTGTGGTATTCCATGTAGTTTATAGATATGTTCCATGAAAACCTCAGCTACTTTATCAGCTGTATAGGGGTGTGATAGGGCTAGGAAATGACTGTACTTGGTGAATCTATCTATCATTACCATGATTACTTCTTTCCCATCCTGAGTTGTGCATCTGAACTAGTAGCTTACTTCTCAGATCTCCTGAACCTCCCACATATAATCTTCCCTTATATTTGATTAAACCCTCATTGACAACAAATTTTGAACCTACTTCTGGCCCAATCAGGTACTCAGTCAACACTTTGCTAGCTAGTTCATCCCCTTCATAAATTTTGAGGGTCTCTTCAATCCACAGTGGTCTAACAGTTGTGATGGCTTGGAGTCCAGCTTATCCTCCACTTTCCTTCCTTGATAGGGCATCGGCCACACAATTGTCCACCCCTTTCTTATATTGGATAGTGTAATTCAGGCCAAGCAACTTGGTCAAACCTTTCTGCTGCATGCATCTGTTGTGATCTTCTACTCTAGTAAAAATTCTGAGACTCAGATGATCAGTCTTGATGGTGAAATGTTTCCCTAGCAAATAAGGCCTCCACTTGTCCACTGCATTAATTATGGATAAGTACTCCTTCTCATAAATGGACAGCCCCAAATGTTTACTTCCAAATCCTTTGCTAAAATAGGCTACTGGCCTTCCATCTTGCATCAGAACTGCCACATCCCCTTGTAACAGGCATAAGCTTCAACTACAAATTCTTTGCTGAAATCAGGTAGGGTAAGGACTGGCGCTGAACATAGGGCCTTCTTAAGCTGTTCAAATGCAACTTCTAAATCTTTACTCCACTGAAAGGCATCCTTCTTCAACATATTGGTGAGTGGCCTACTGATAGTTCCATAAGATTGGATAAATCTCATGTAATACCCTGTGAGTCCAAGGAACCCTCTCAATGCCCTAATATTAGAAGGTTTAGGCCAAGACGCTACAACCGCTAACTTCAGTTTTTGCAAAGGAGAATTTGCTAAGCTTTGCAAATAACTGATGCTCCTTCATCACCTTCAATACCTCCCTCAAGTGGTCCCAGTGACTTCACAGTGTAGGACTATAGATCAATATATCATCAAAGAACACCAGCACTGACTTTCTAATCAAGGGTTTAAACACATAATTCATAAGTGATTGAAAAGTAGATGGGGCATTTGTTAACCCAAAGGTCATTACCTTAAATTCATACAGCCCTAGGTGTGTTCTGAAGGCTGTCTTGTATTCCTCCCCCTCCTTCATCCTTACTTGGTGATACCCAGCTCTTAGATCCAGTTTGGTGAAAATTTTGGCTTTAGCCAATTTAGAGAACAAATCCTCAACTAAGGGAATTGGGAACTTGTTCTTGATTGTGATCTCATTTAGGGCCCTGTAATCTACACAAAATCTCCATGTGTTGTCCTTTTTGGGTACCAACAACACTGGAAAAGCAAAAGGAGAGGTACTTGAGAGATAATGCCAGCTGACAACATTTCTTCTACCATCTTCTCTATGGTGTTTTTCTGTCCAAAGGAATACCTATAAGGTTTAGAATTCACAGGCTTAGCTCCTGGTGTCAAGGGAATTGCATGGTCAAATGGTCTCTTAGGGGGTAATGTCCTGGGGTCCTTAAACAACTCCTGGAACTCCTGTAGAATAGCAGTCAGTTCAGGATGTTTAGCTTCTGTTTCCTATGAAATTTCATTGTCTTGAATCATGCCTTGCAATAAGTACCCTTGGACCACTTCCTTTTTCCACCTCCTAACCTCCTTCTTAGTGGCCTGTTGCAATACTATTGCTTTGGTCAATCCCTTATGCAGCACTCTCTGTAACACCCCGAAATTTTGAAACTTTTAAAACTTATATAATAAAGGTGAATTCTCATTAAACCCCAAAATCAAACATAAGAGTGCAGGGTGCTATGCCACATCTGAGCTGGAGAACTCAGATGCACAGGCTAAACTAACTAAATATCCTCAAAGCAATGTCAATACATAATCATGGCATGCAGGCCGAAAGGGAAACTAACTAATCTATGCTCCGGATCTCTAGCGCGCTCCGGGGTCTACTCATCTGTGCCTGAAAGCCAAATATATCTGTTCAGCGAATGATGCTGGTAACCCACTCCAACGCGTTGAAATACATATATATATATATATATATATATATATATATATATATATATATATATATATATATATATATATATATATATATAGATTATATGAAAACCATTTTGAAGCAGGAAGATATATACTTAGGAGACTCTAGCTTTAAAACAATGGATAGACTCGACAGATAGGGATAAGCACATTAAGCGATGATAGACAGTTATATAGAGACAATATCATAAAGAACATGTATCTAAGGTCACAGTTTACTTTCAAATCATTAACAGCAACATTCAATCATCATTTAAGTCACACAAGCACACTTTGGTGGCGCCACGGGACCAATCGCATGCCCCGAACATGAGGGTTAGTACATATAGTACTAACACGGCCCCGCAGCACCCTACCCCATACCGCAGTATGAAGGGGTTGATCGCAACCAACCTGATGTGATCCGTGGTGCAAGCTTTGTCGTTGTAAGCCTTCTAGTTCTGCAGCAGCAAGCCGAGCTCCTCACACCATTCTTGTATGTTGGGTTGTTTGGGTGTTTGGGAAAGTTCATGAGGGTTTATGGGGTTTCTTTTTGTTGGTTTTTAAGATAGCCTCGGCCACACCTGGTTTATGGTGATACGAGGGAGTTTTAGACGCCACAAAGGGAAAATCTTTGATAAGTCAGAAGAACCTTGAAGAACTCAAGGAGGAGAGCAATCTTGTTGCCAAAATAATTCAACGTAATCTGATTTCCCCTAGAAGTGACATTGTTTTAAGCTATTACATGTTGTGCCAAGAAATTAGGCCTAACAATTAGCAAAAGACTAGGGGAATACAAAGTTGAATAGGAAACAGAAAAGATGATCAAGTCTAGCCTAAAAAAAGGAGGAGCCCTAAACTGCCAGGACTCTTTATCTAACTTCCCGCGAGTGCAGCTCGGACCATGTTCAGTAACCAAGCTTGGCTCAACTACTGTATTATTGTTTAGAGAGTCTCCTTTCAGCCCATATAAGGCATGTAACGCGCAAATGAGTGGGTTGACGCGCATGGGCCTTAAATTATTGTTGCGCCAGATTTTCAGCAACTTTGTAAATTGACATTGAATGTCTAATTGCAACCTAACCCCATTGTAGACATTTGGGGTGACAATTGGTCACAAATATGAGACAATTTATTTAAATTGAACACCAATTAAATTGATCACACGACCATCATACCCATCCGAATGTCCAACCTCAAAATTGGCTTGTATGAGCGCACTCATAGAATCTTGCAACCTCCTAGCTCTAGCCCGCGTTGTAGGACCATCCAAAACGTGTAGTGGATCTCTAGTTTCGTCACCATCGTTGTCCTCAACATTTCCCCCTTCCTCAGGAGGATTCGTCCACGAATCTTCAGGATCAGAATTAAAGGATGAAAGATCAGCAACATTAAAAGTATTGCTAACACCATACTCCCCTGGAAGAGCTAACTTGTAAGCATTGTCATTGATCCGGGAAACCACCTGGAATGGCCCATCGCCCCTTGGTAGTAACTTCGACCTCCTTTGGGCAGGGAAACGCTCCTTCCTCATATGCACCCAAACCCAATCGCCTGGTTGGAAGACAACTTGTTTTCGTCCTTTATTAACCCGTGTGGCAGTCTGCTCATTCCTTTTAGTGATCCGTCGTCTAACTTGCTCATAAATGGATTGGACCCATTTAGCCTTTTTTTCTCCATCTAATTGCAATAATCTTGAACTGCAAAAGGGGTTAGATCGAGAGGTGTAATTGGATTAAACCCATACACCACTTCAAAGGGTGAAAAACCTGTAGTGCTATGCATATGTCTATTGTAAGAAAATTCAACATGAGGAATGTTTTCCTCCCAAGATTTTAAATTTTTCTTAACACATGCCCTAAGTAAAGCCCCCAAAGTCCGGTTCACCACCTCAGTTTGACCATCCGTTTGAGGATGACAAGTGGTAGAAAATAGCAGTTTAGTCCCCAATTTGCCCCACAAAGTTTTCCAAAAGTAGCTTAAAAATTTAACATCACGGTCTGACACTATAGTTTTTGGCATTCCATGAAGCCGAACCACCTCCCTGAAGAACAAGTTTGCTACATTGCTTGCATCATCCGTCTTGTGACACGGAACAAAATGTGCCATCTTGGAAAACCTGTCTACCACAACAAAGATAGAATCATGACCTTTATTAGTTCTAGGCAAACCCAAGACAAAGTCCATGGAGAGATCAACCCATGGTTGAGTAGCCACTGGCAAGGGAGTATACAACCCATGAGGCATGCTCTTTGACTTAGCCTGTTTGCACACTAAGCACTTACCACAAATTCTATGAACATCATGCTTCATTCTAGGCCAATAAAAATGTTCTTTAAGAATTTCTAGTGTTTTTTGAATGCCAAAATGGCCCATCAGTCCACCCCCATGTGCCTCCTTAAGCAAAAGCTCTCGTAAAGAGCATGTAGGGATACACAATTTATTATCCTTAAACAGAAACCCATCATTCAATGAGTATTTTCCAAATGCCCCTTTCACACAAGCAGAATATATTTCACCAAAAACAGCATCATTCCCATACAAATCTTTGATATGTTCAAAACCCAAAAACTGTGCATGCATGGTAGTTAACATGATATGTCTCCTAGAAAGCGCATCAGCCACTACATTTTCCTTACCTTGCTTGTATTGAATTACATACAAGAAAGACTCAATGTACTCTACCCACTTGGCATGACGCCTATTGAGCTTACCTTGATCACGTAAGTATTTAAGAGCTTCGTGATCAGTGTGAATAACAAATTCTTTGGGTCGAAGATAGTGCTCCCAATGCTCTAAAGCTCTAACAAGGGCAAAAAGCTCCTTGTCATAAGTAGGGTAATTCAGACTAGCCCCGTTCAATTTCTCACTAAAATAAGCAACTGGTTTCCCCCCTTGCATGAGGACAGCCCCTATACCCACCCCGAAGGCATCACAATCTATCTCAAATGTGGTCTCAAAGTTGGGTAAAGCAAGTACTGGTGCTGTGCACAACTTTTCTTTCAGTATGCTAAAGGCACGTTCCTGCTTATCGCCCCATTGAAAACCTACATCCTTTTTAATCACCTCGGTTAGTGGTGCAGCAATAGTACTGAAATTTTTCACAAAGCGGCGATAAAAGCTCGCAAGGCCGTGAAAACTACGTACTTCACCAACATTCCTCAGTGTTGGCCAATCACGAATAACCTCAATTTTAGCACTATCTGCCACAATCGCATTGGCATTGATAATATAGCCAAGGAAATGTACAGATGAGGTGCAGAATTCACACTTCTTCAAGTTAACATACAGTTTATGCCCTCTCAACACATAAAAAACCTCTTTCAGAGGCCTAACATGCTCTTTAAGGCTCTTACTATAAATTAGGATATCGTCAAAATAGACCACCACACTTTTCCCTATGAAGTCTCGAAGCACGTGGTTCATGAGCCTCATGAAGGTACTAGGTGCATTAGTAAGGCCAAATGGCATAACAAGCCATTCATATAGACCTTGCTTGGTCTTGAAAGCTGTTTTCCATTCATCCCCTTCATGAATTCGAATTTGGTGATATCCAGATTTCAAATTAATTTTGGAAAATAAACATGCACCATATAGTTCATCTAACATATCATCAAGGCGTGGAATAGGAAAACGATATTTAACAGTAATTTTGTTGATTGCTCTACAGTCAACACACATACGCCACGACACATCTTTTTTGGGTACCAGAAGAACTGGAACTGCACAAGGGCTTAAGCTTTCCCTTATATGCCCTTTAGCTAATAACTCATCCACCTGTTTTTGAATCTCTTTAGTTTCTTCCGGATTACACCGGTAAGCTGGTCTGTTTGGCAATGGTGCCCCTGGCACCAAGTCAATTTGGTTCTCTATACCCCTCACGGGTGGTAATCCCTCAGGCATTTCTTTAGGGAAAATATCTCCATACTCCTGCAACAAAGAAGAAACAGCATCGGACAAATGCTCGAAATTAGTTGTTTGGGCACTAGGCCCATTATAAAGCATTAAATATATAGGCCTTCCCACTCTAATTGCATTTTCCACTACTTTTTTTTTACAAAAGAAATTTTGTTTTGCTTTTTTCTTTTCACTCATTTCTTTTGCACTCAAATTTTCCTTTTTCTCACTTTTTTTCCTCTCTTCTTTTTCTTTCTCAATTGCTTTCTTTTGGACCTCATAAATTTGTTGCGGTGTCATTGGAGTAAGAGTGATTTTTCTGCCACGGTGTTCAAAGGAGTATCTATTGTGGAAACCATCATGCACGACTTTTCTATCATACTGCCAAGGCCTCCCTAATAGCAAATGTGCAGCCTGCATAGGAACAACATCACATAAGATCTCATCTTCATACTTCCCCATCTTGATTGGAACCAGCACTTGTTGATCCACTTTAATGTCCTCTGTCTTATTCAACCATTGCAATGAATATGGAAGTGGGTGTTTTTGCATATCTAATCCCAATTTGGTAACCAATTCATCACTTGCTACATTCGCACAGCTTCCTCCGTCAATGATTAAGTTGCAAACCTTTCCGTGAACAAAGCACTTGGAATGGAAGATGTTCTCACGTTGCTCCTCTTCCCCTTTGGCCTGAATGTTAAGTAATCTCCTCACCATCAAAGCTTCTCCATCTACCGGCCCCACGTATCCCTCATCGCTTTCTGAACTGGACTCCCGGCCCCACGTATCCCTCATCGCTTTCTGAACTGGACTCCTTTTCACTAGCAGATTCTGATTCTATATTGTCTCTAGGATCATTCTGTTCATGCTCGGAATCAGTCACAATTATTCCTTTCTTGACCGTCATATTGAACTTGTTTGGACATTCCTTAGCAATGTGTCATCTTCCCTGACATTTAAAACACTTAATAGTACTAGGCTTTGTAATTTTTTATTTACCTTTATCTCTTTACTCTCGGGGCTCTTTTGGCTTGCTAGATTCAACTTTAGCATCTAGTTTGTTTCTATCCTTGTGTCGCCACGAAGAACTTGATTGAGTCCGAATTCTCCTCCTCTTGAGTGTTCGTTCAATCTTGATGGCCAATTGGACCAATTCCCCGTAATCCACATAGTGTTGTTTGTCAACCTCGTCTTTGATCTCCCAATTCAGTCCTCTATGGAAACGTGCCATGGATTGCTCTGGACTCTCATCAATATTAAGTCTGGTCATGAGCTAATCCATTTCTTGAACGTACTCGGGTACACTGCGTGATCCTTGTACCAACCCCTCAAGTTGTTGGTACAGCTCTCGTTGATACCATGAAGGCACAAACTGCCTTCTCATCATAGCCTTAAGTTGCTGCCAAGATGCAATAGGATCTTCTCCATTCCCCATTCTGTCAGCCACAACTTTTCCCCACCAAATGGTAGCATAATCAGAAAACTCAAGAACGGCTAATTTCAATCTCTTTCGTTCAGAATATCTATGACACTCAAACACTCTCTCCACCTTATTCACCCACTCTAAGTAAGCTTCAGGATCATTTTTTCCTTGAAATTTAGGAATAGACATCTTAATTTTTTCCATGTCATCATCACTACCCTCTATAGCTCTATTTCCTCCTCCTCTATGTCTCCCTCTCTCCGGATTCCTCACAACTTCTTCCTCATTATCCCCATCACTACCTCCCTCACTATCATCTTCCCTCCCATTTTGTCTTCTATTTTGAGCTCGTACACCATTTTGATTTCTATTCACTTCTCCCTCTATTATCTCAATTCTTTCTGTCAACCCATCAAACCTTCCATTAACCCTCTCAAACTCTCCCCTCATAGCCCGCATCATGAACCTCACGTCGGGGCTTATTGTTGGTCATCCATTTCACTAGGTCCCGACATATTTAACCTGCACAAAACTTGTTAGAAAAAAAAAAATAGAGTAATTCAAGGACCTCTCAGCACTCCCTCACTTGCACTCTTTTGGAAGGGGTGATCACTCAGTTTCTTACCATTCGTGTATCTGACTCTCTATTAATCTCACTAAAGTTCACACAAGATGACAAACAAGGCTTCGTCATTCGAGTTCTTGACGGGTTCCTCAAATCTAACCAAAAGTACCCTAAATGGGACTAAAACATAACAATTTGGATAAAGGTGAAAGGTTAGGGTAGGGTCAATTTAGGCTGGAACGTGTTGTTCAAGTGTTGGCTCAAAAGGAAAAATAGATAAGGCAATACTTCCAAACAAGAATTACTGATTGATAGATGATAAATATAAGGATGAAACAAGTAATGACAAGAACTCAATACTTGTTTATAAACCAGTATCAAATAGTTACATAACTTCAACAGCTGATCTCTAACACTTTTTTTTTTTTTTTTTTTGTGGCAAAGATCACTTCAAATCAACCGGAAAACAAAGAAACAGCAAGAATAAACAAAAGTTCAAACTACACAAGAATTGGCATAATCTGGACAGAAAAAGCTAAAAAAAAAGGGGATGAAACTTTGAGAATTTTCTGGGAACAGATGGTAACGAATCTTCACTCAATTTTTTCCAGATTTCAAGTTCAACAAGTGTACGAAATGCAGAAAAAAATTCAGACAAAAAAGACACATGAAACTATTTTTTTCGGATTTTCAAAGGTGACTGCGCAAAACAGCGAATTTCAGTAAAACTTGCCGAAACTTTGAGAATTTTCTGGGAACAGATGGTAACTAATTTTCACTCAATTTTTTCCAGATTTCAATTTCAACAAGTTTACGAAATTCAGAAAAAATTTCAGACAAAAAGGACACACGGAACTATTTTTTCCGGATTTTCAAAGTTGACTGCGCAAATCTGCAAATTTCAGGCAGATTGTGTTTTAAACTAAAATTTGAGAAGAATTTTGTAACCTCTTGAAGCGTGAGAGCAACTTGGCTCTGATACCAAATTTGATGTGATCCGTGGTGCAAGCTTTGTCGTTGTAAGCCTTCGAGTTTTGCAGCAGCAAGCCGAGCTCCTCACGCCATTCTTATATGTTGGGTTGTTTGGGTGTTTGGGAAAGTTCATGAGGGTTTATGGGGTTTCTTTTTGTTGGTTTTTAAGATAGCCTCGGCCACACCTTGAAGAACCTTGAAGACTTCAAGGAGGAGAGCAATCTTGTTGCCAAAATAATTCAACGTAATCTGATTTCCCCTAGAAGTGACATTGTTTTAAGCTATTACATATTGTGCCAATAAATTAGGCCTAACAATTAGCAAAAGACTAGGGAATACAAAGTTGAATAGGAAACAGAAAAGATGATCAAGTCTAGCCAAAAAAAAGGAGGAGCCCTAAACTGCCAGGACTCTTTATCTAACTTCCCGCGAATGCAGCTCGGACCACTTTCAGTAACCAAGCTTGGCTCAACTACTGTATTATTTTTTAGAGAGTCTCCTTTCAGCCCATATAAGGCATGTGACGCGCAAATGAGTGGGTTCACGCGCACAGGCCTTAAATTATTGTTGCGCCAGATTTTCAGCAACTTTGTAAATTGACATTGAATGTCTAATTGCAACCTAACCCCATTGTAGACATTTGGGGTGACAATTGGTCACAAATATGAGACAATTTATTTAAATTGAACACCTATTAAATTGATCACACGACCATCATACCCATCCGAATGTCCAACCTCAAAATTGGCTTGTATGAGCGCACTCACAGAATCTTGCAACCTCTTAGCTCTAGCCCGCGTTGTAGGACCATCCAAAACGTGTAGTGGATCTCTAGTTTCGTCACCATCGTTATCCTCAACACAACCGTATAGACCGTCGATAGTTTCGATGGCGGATCACAGCCCTACACACCGCTGACGCGCTAAGTCGGTGGACTGTGATCATCTTTTGGGGACTACGACCCTACACACCGTTGTCGAGCATAGTCGGTGGATCGTAGCGGATCAAGCCCTACACACCGCCTGAGGGACTCATTCGGTGGGCGATGATCCTCGGAGACTACGACCCTACACACCGCTGGCCCATCACTCGGTGGATCGCAGCCGACCATAGCCCTACACACCGCCTGATCACTCATTTGGTGGGCTATGGCCTTCCTCAGGCTGGTGGCCCTACACACCGTTGGCGCATCCAGTCAGTGGACCATCAGCACATGAGGCCCATGTGGGCTGTAGCCCAAGAAGTGAATCACTGACCGCAGCCAGGAAAATGACCCGTAGCTCATGAGTAACCAAATTGACCGCAGCTAACTTCTGAACCGCAGCTTAGGAACTCCCAATTTGATCGCAACCAAATTGGGGAATCATGCATCACATAACACATAGTAGCACGTATTGGCACATTGGGAAGGGGGAGACGTATAAATAAACTTATGTGTAATCATTCAAATACTAAGAATAGTCCTAAGGGGTTCATGCATCTTCCACCTAGGCCAAAGGGTTACCGATTCAACTAGCATGCAATTCCTAAGACTCTTCTATCCTACCAATGGCACCCGAAACATCAAACTAGACTCATGCACGACAACCGAGGTCCGTTGGGACACCACGGGGATTGGGGAACATCAAACGGGGAAGCCAAAGACCCGGGGTGGGTAACAAACCAACGGGTAGCCGGTAAGTGGAGGGCCACCCGCCGGCGACGAATTTCCGGGCAGCGGGTGCCCGGCGGGCAGACGCCTGCCCGCTGCCTGGCGGTGTCTCTTCGGGCAGCGGGTAGGTGGCGGGTCCCCCCTGCCCCCACCTACCCCCCACTGACTCTTTATCAAATTAAACGTCCCGGGATCCTTTGTGGAACCCGGAACCATGCTTAGACACTTTTAAACGCAAATAACGACACCACATAGGTAATTAACGGATCAAAAGCAACAATCACGTAGAACACAACCTATCATGACTTCTAAACATAATCAACACCCGAACATGTGAATTCCCACCCAAATATACCAAGAAAATCCCAACACGAAATTCATGATTCAACCTAGGGCTCTAATCATATTTAAATTATCAAGATCATAGTTTATCTTTAAAATCAAGAAACATCAAGACTTATCAAGAATATCACACAATCATCAAGATTCTCTTATCATCATCAAGGTTATCAAGATCACACATAAATTCATCTCACCAATCATCAAGATCACATTGCAATTATCATATCAAGACACAAGCATATAGAGGAAGCCAAAGAAGAGGATTATAGCAAAGAAAATAGGTTATGTTGAGACATGGGTTAAAATCATATTTAAATCACAAATCATACTTTATCTTTAAAATCAAGATTTATCAAGAATCAACACACAATTATCAAGATCCTTTTATCATCATCAAGATCATCAAGATCACACATAAAATCATCTCAACAATTATCAAGATCATATCACAATTACCATAGAAGATTTCATCAAGACACAAGTATAGAATAGGGAGCCGAAGAAGAAGATTATAGCAAGGAAAATAGGTTTTGTTGAGACATGGGTTACCTCTTAGCCTTAATTAATCCTCCCTTGGCTATTAAGGTTCTTCCCTAAAATTTCCATCCGATTGATCTCCTTAGGCTTGGTGGTGGGGAACCCCTTGGGAATACTTTTGTGTAATATAACTATGGTGGTAAGGGTTCTAATGCTTTCTAATCCCCTATTTATAGTATTAGGAATCCTAATCATAATCTGAATAGTAAAGGCCTACTTTCTCCATTCCTAATAGATAATTAGGTCTAGGACTCCTAATTAGAATCTGATTAGTAAAAGGTTTACTCTCTTTATTCCTAATAGGCTTAAGACTCTAGTTTAGGCAAGGGTCCATGATCCATGGTGGACCACATTAATTTATTAAAGGAAATCCTAGCCAAATTAAATCCTTTTTAATTATTATTAACGGAATTAATTAAATAATTAATCCGGGATTGAAGCCCGTAACATGGGGTGTTACACTCTCTTCCCATCCTTATGGAAGGATATCCCTGATGGTCTAGTATGAAGTTGGATTGGGGCATAGCAGTCAACCCAATCCATAGAACCATGCCACAACCTCCCAACTTAAGAACCCTCAAATCTTTTTCAAACAACTCTTTCTGGACCTGCCATTTCAGTTTTTTGCAAATTGAGTCACATGCCATCTTTTCTCCATTTGCCACTGTGACCATAAGAGTTTTTGCCTTCTCAGAGGAAATCCTTAACTGTTCTAACACCTTGGGGTCCACAAAACTGTGTGTGCTTCCACTGTCTACTAGTATAGTGATCCTTCCCCTCCAATCATTGCATTAAGAGTCACCTCCCCTTATTCTATTTCAGGAGTTCCCAGGGATTCGGATTCCTCCTTTTGGTCCCCACTGACTTCCTCTTCATTTCCATCAGTTCCCTCTATGATGTTGAAGGTGTGACTCTTGCATCTATGCCTAGGGTTCCAGGGTTCAAAACACCTGAAAGACCTGTTTTGTTCCCTGAGTTGATCCCTGAACTTGCTAATTTCAGGTGACCTAGCATTGGACTGGAGGGTGTTTGAGGCTGAGGTTCTAGGTGAAGGGTGGCAATTTTGGGATTTAGATAGGTCAGGGGTTTTTGCTGTAAAGGTTCTGGAGTGTTGGGGGTATCTTTGGCCAGTGCAGTTTGGTTTTTGGGATTGGATACTGGAATTTTTCTTGTGTTCACTCACTTTAAGTCATTTCTCAAATTGTCTTGCCAACCAAATGGCATCCTCTAAGTTAGTAGGCCTAGATGTTCTCACAAAACATCTAAGCTGCTGCTTCAACCTTACAACAAAGCTGTCTAGAAAATACTGATCAGTTAGGGTAGGATAATTCTGCAATAATAACCCTTTATACTCTTCATATTTGTCAGAAAAATCAACCACAT